ATAGCTGTTTCTGCTGTTTTTTTTTTTTTTTTTAGTTGGAACTAAACCAGCTCTCAGGAAAGAGATGGATGAAGTCACTGCTAAACTAGGACAAACTGCAACTCTCAAATGTCAGATTATTGGAAGACCTGTTCCAGAAATTAAATGGTACAAGGGTGGAAAGGAAATCAAAGAAGGTCGCAAATATGCAGCGACCTCTGATGGCCGCAGTCATACACTGACCATTTCAACCGATCAGCAGGAAGATGAGGGTCTGTACACATGCAAGGCTGTGAATGAAGCCGGGGAGTGTGAGACCAGTGGAACTCTGGTCCTTGAAGCAGCACCACAGTTCCCAGTGCCACTGAAAGACAAATTATTTGCAACATGTGGTAGCACAGTGCGCATACATGTTGTTTACATTGGTCGACCTCAGCCTAAGATCATGTGGCTTTATGGAGCCAAGGCTTTGGAGCCCTCTGAGAATTTAATAATTGAAAATACAGAGCATTACACTCATTTGATTCTCAAAAATGTACAGCGCAGAGTAAACGGAGGAAAATACAGAATCAGGATCAACAACCATTTCGGGGCTGCAGATACTGTAACTCATGTTGAAATCTTAGGTATATGATTGATAATGCTTAATAATTTGTTTAAAAAATCTGGTAGGTATTAGTAGAAATAAGACCAATTAACATATTCTTTGTGCTTTCAGATAAACCTGCAATGCTAGAAGGCCCTCTTGTTCTTGATGCACTGTTGAAGAATTCTGTGATCATTAGCTGGAAAGCACCCAAAGATGATGGAGGATCTATGATCACAAATTATATTGTGGAAAAGCGTGAAGACAAGGAAGGAGCAGAGTGGGAACTTGTATCTTCATCTATCACAGGCACTTCATGCAGAATTCCTAACCTTGTTGAAAATGAGGGATACTTCTTCCGTGTTTCAGCACAAAATCGTTATGGCAATAGTGAATCACTGGAGACTCCTTATGCTATCCTCATCAAGAGTCAGCTAGGTAAGCAATGAAGAAACATGATTAAAGAAGTAACTACAATTTTGATGTTATTTTTTCAGTGTTGTAATTCAAATTAAAATTTATGTTTTACAGAGAGGCCAGGAGCTCCATTAAAACCAGTTGCTTCTGCACTTACCAAAAACTCCTGTGTTGTGTCTTGGAAGCCACCTCTCAGTGATGGTGGTTCTAAAATTAAGAACTACTGTCTTGAAAAACGAGATAAGAAGAAGGGTGAATGGGTTGCAGTTACAACAGATGAAATCCACCAGACTGTTTATTCTGTCAAGGGCCTGACAGAAGGTGTGGAGCATGAATTCCGGGTGAAATGTGAAAACCTTGGTGGAGAAAGTGAGTACAGTGAAGTATCTGACCCTGCCATTCCAAAGACTGATGTTGAAGTGCGTGCTCCTGCCTTCAAAGAAGACCTCAGAAACATGAGTGTAAAATTCAAGAGCAATGCAACATTTGTCTGCAAGATAACAGGACAGCCCAAGCCTGTAATAAAATGGTTCAAGCGTGGTAAGGAAATTCAAGCTGATGGCACCAAAATCAAGATCCAAGAATTCAAGGGAGGCTACCATCAGCTTGTTATTGCTGATTGTGATACAGAAGACTCAACTGTATATCAGATCAGAGCAACAAACCAGGGTGGATCCATTTCTGCTACTGTTTCTCTAGATGTAGAAAGTAAGCTTTCAGTATTTTTATATACTTTAACTGGCTATACCCGCAATTCTGTCTGTAAGAAAATTTCAAAGTGATGCATTAAAATTTTCTCTTTTTTTTCTCAGTCCCTGCTAAGATTCATCTACCTAAGAATCTGCAAGGAATATTTAGATAAACCAAGCCAGCCAGGAGAAATTGACATTATGACTGTTACCAAAGACTACATTACAATTAATTGGGAGACTCCAGCATGTGATGGTGGAAAACCAGTCCTTGGCTACTGGATTGAATACCGAAAGTCTGGAGAGACTGCTTGGAAGAAATGCAATAAGGAGCGCACAAAGGACAAACAGTACACTCAGGGTGGTCTACAAGAGGCAACAGAATATGAATTCAGAGTATTTGCTGAAAATGAAACCGGAATTAGCCGACCACGCAGAACAGCAACTGGCATCAAAACTAAACTGGGTGGTAAGTATGGTTTGAAATAACATAAGAAGTACTGTTGAATGTATTATGATTTGTCAGTATCAAATATTTATCCAAATTCATTTTTAGAGGAGAAATTTATTTGACTAAAATCTCACTATAGCTGTCCCTGCTTTTTATTTATTTATTTATTTTCCTAGTTGGAACTAAACCAGCTCTCAGGAAAGAGATGGATGAGGTCACTGCCAAACTAGGACAAACTGCAACTCTCAAATGTCAGATTATTGGAAGACCTATTCCAGAAATTAAATGGTACAAGGGCGGAAAGGAAATCAAAGAAGGTCGCAAATATGCAGCAACCTCGGATGGCCGTAATCATACACTGACGATTTCAACCGATCAACAGGAAGATGAGGGTCTGTACACATGCAAGGCTGTGAATGAGGCCGGCGAGTGTGAGACCAGTGGAACTCTGGTCCTTGAAGCAGCACCACAGTTCCCAGTGCCACTGAAAGACAAATTCTTTGCAACATGTGGTAGCACAGTGCGCATGCATGTTGTTTACATTGGTCGACCTCATCCTAAGATAATGTGGCTTTATGGAGCCAAGGCTTTGGAACCCTCTGAGAATGTGATAATTGAAAATACAGAGCATTACACTCATTTGATTCTCAAAAACGTACAGCGCAGAGTAAACGGAGGAAAATACAGAATCAGGATTAACAACCATTTTGGGGCTGCAGATACTGTAACTCACGTTGAAATCTTAGGTATATGCTTAATAATGCTTAATCATTTTTAAAATTCTGGTAAATATTAGTGGAAATAAGACTAATTAACTTATTCTTTGTGTTTTCAGATAAACCTGCAATGCCAGAAGGTCCTCTTGTACTTGATGCACTGTTGAAGAATTCTGTGATAATTAGCTGGAAAGCACCCAAAGATGATGGAGGATCTATGATCACAAATTATATTGTGGAAAAGCGTGAAGACAAGGAAGGAGCAGAGTGGGAACTTGTATCTTCATCTATCACAGGCACTTCATGCAGAATTCCTAACCTTGTTGAAAATGAGGGATACTTCTTCCGTGTTTCAGCACAAAATCGTTATGGCAATAGTGAATCACTGGAAACTCCTTCTGCTATCCTCATCAAGAGTCAGCTACGTAAGTAATGAAGAAACATGATTAAAGAATGTTGTTGATGTTGTTTTTTAGTGTTATTTAAATTAAAATGTATATTAAAATGTATGTTTACAGAGAGGCCAGGAGCTCCATTAAAACCAGTTGCTTCTGCACTTACCAAAAACTCCTGTGTTGTGTCTTGGAAGCCACCTCTCAGTGATGGAGGCTCTAAAATTAAGAACTATTGTCTTGAAAAGCGAGATAAGAAGGGTGAATGGGTTGCAGTTACAACAGATGAAATCCACCAGACTGTTTATTCTGTCAAGGGCCTGACAGAAGGTGTGGAGCATGAATTCCGGGTGAAATGTGAAAACCTTGGTGGAGAAAGTGAGTACAGTGAAGTATCTGACCCTGCCATTCCAAAGACTGATGTTGAAGTGCGTGCTCCTGCCTTCAAGGAAGATCTCAGAAACATGAGTGTAAAATTCAAGAGCAATGCAACATTTGTCTGCAAGATAACAGGACAGCCCAAGCCTGTAATAAAATGGTTCAAGCGTGGTAAGGAAATTCAAGCTGATGGCACCAAAATCAAGATCCAAGAATTCAAGGGAGGCTACCATCAGCTTGTTATTGCTGATTGTGATACAGAAGACTCAACTGTATATCAGATCAGAGCAACAAACCAGGGTGGATCCATTTCTGCTACTGTTTCTCTAGATGTTGAAAGTAAGCTTTCTTACTTTATCTGGCTAAACATATAATTCTGTCTGTAGAAAAATTTTAGAAAAAGTGATGCATTACAATTTTTCTTTTTTCAGTCCCTGCTAAGATTCATCTACCTAAGAATCTGCAAGGAAAGGAGGCTATCCCTGCCCTTCGTGGTGAAGTGGTGAACATCAAAATTCCATTCAGTGGAAAACCAGATCCAGTTATCACTTGGCAGAAGGGACAAGACCTTCTTGATAATGATGGACACTATCAAGTCATTGTCACACGATCCTTCACATCTCTTGTATTCTTGAATGGAGTAGAAAGGAATGATGCTGGTTTTTATATTGTGTGTGCCAAAAACAGATTTGGAATTGACCAGCAAACAGTTGAGCTTGATGTTGCAGATGTGCCTGATCCACCACGTGGCATCAATGCCAGTGATGTTTCGAGAGATTCTGTAACACTTCACTGGGTAGCACCTGCCAATGATGGTGGAAGTAAAGTCACAAACTATATCATAGAAAAGTGTGCCACAACAGCAGAAAGATGGGTTCGTGTTGGCCAGTCTCGTGACACCCACTATACTGTTGTCAATCTGTTTGGAAAAACAAGTTACCAATTCCGTGTCATAGCTGAAAATAAATTTGGTCAGAGTGCACCGTCTGAGCCAAGTGGATCTGTTGTAACGAAGGAAGACAAATCAAGAGTTCTTAACTATGATGAAGAAGTTGATGACACCAGGCCAGTTTCCAAAAGCAAAGCTCCTCATTCAGAGGCTAAGAATGTTCACAACAAGTACATGATTGCTGAAGAGCTTGGCCGCGGACAGTTTGGTATTATTCACCGGTGCATTGAAACCAGTTCTGAGAAAACTTACATGGCTAAATTTGTCAAAGTTAGAGGTGCAGATCAGGCACTAGTGAAGAAAGAAATTGCAACACTGAATGTGACACGCCACAAGAGCTTCCTGTTACTGCATGAGTCATTTGACTGCCCTGAAGAGCTAGTCATGATTTATGAGTTCATCTCTGGTGTGGACATATTTGAGCGCCTTGGTACAGCCAATTTTGAGCTCAATGAGTGTGAAATTGTTAACTATATCAGACAAGTATGTGAAGCTCTTGAATTCCTTCACAGCAAGAGTTATGGCCACTTTGATATCAGGCCTGAAAATATAGTGTACACTACAAGAAAGGGAACTAATGTCAAGATTATTGAGCTTGGACAATCTAGACACCTTACACCTGGCGACCAAATTAAGATTCAGTACACGACAGCTGAGTTTGCGGCACCAGAAATACATCAAAATGAGATGGTTAGCACCGTGACAGATATGTGGTCTGTCGGTGTCCTTGTGTATGTTCTTCTCAGTGGACTTAATCCATTCGCTGCTGAAACTAATCAGCAAATGATTGAGAGCATTTGCAATGCTGAGTACAGTTTTGATGATGACGCCTTCAAGCATGTAAGTGTTGAGGCATTTGACTTTGTGGACCGCCTACTAACCAAAGAGCGCAAACATCGTATGACCGCTGCTGAGGCTTTGAATCATCCTTGGCTGACAATGAACTCAGAGCAGCTAAGCACTAGGTCCATCAAGATTACACGCCATAAGAGATATTACCAAGCCATGGTTAAGAAAGAATGGAACACTGTTGTGTCATCTGCTCGTGTTGCCAGTGGTGGTGCTATCAGAAGTCAGCGAGGAGTAACAGTCTCTAAAGTGAAGATTGCACCATTTGAACATGGACCAGTTGCAGGACTAATTAAACACAGTGTTGCTGATGAAGGTGATGATATCAAGCTCATTTGCAACATTGATAACTACGATAGCACCACCGAAGTAACATGGTACTGTGGAGTAAGACAACTAGAAGAAAGCGCTAAAAATGAAATTACTTATGAAGACGAGCTTGCTACCATAACTATCAAAGGAATCACCAGAACTGATGACGGAACATACAGATGTAAAGTTGTCAATGAGTATGGTGAGGACAGTGCCTATGCTGAGCTCTTTGTCAAAGGGGTAAGATCCTATCGTGAGTTCTTCACTACACGTGTTGTAAAGAAAGTAAAACGCAGAGTTGACACAGCAAGACTTCTGCAAAGACCTCCTGAATTTACTTTGCCATTATGTAACCGCACTGCTTACATTGGAGAGAATGTGCGCTTTGGTGTCACAATCACAGTGCATCCTGAACCTCGTGTAATGTGGTTGAAAACTGGTCAAAAGATTATGCCAGGAGATGATGACAAGAAATACACTTTTGTTAGTGATAAGGGCCTGTATCAGTTAGTGATTCACAATCTTAACCCAGATGATGACGCAGAATACACTGTTGTGGCACGGAACAGATTTGGTGATGACAGTTGCAAGGCTCGTCTTACAGTGATCCCTCGTCCTGCTCCTGCTGATAACACCTTGAGACCTATGTTCAAACGTGTTTTTGCTAACTTAGAATGCAGAGAAGGCCAGAGTGTACGTTTTGAAATGAGAGTGTCAGGGCATCCTTCATTGAAATGGGAGAAAGATGGCATGCCTTTGGCATTTGGTCCACAAATTGAAGTTGTGCATGAAGGCTTAGATTACTATGTCTTACATGTAAGAGATACTCTTCCAGAGGATTCTGGCATATACAGAGTCATTGCAACTAACTCAGCTGGGTCTGCAAGTTGCCAATCCACACTCAAGGTTGAACGTGTGATACACATCAAGAAGGAGGAGAGTGAGGAACAAAAGAAGAAGAAACACGATCTTGATCAGCAAGAGATGGACAAGAAAGTAAGACTAACTCAGATACTAGCAGGTGCAGATGTTACCCCACTTACTCCAGTCGCACAGCAAGCACTAAGAGAAGCTGCAACTATGTTCAAGCCAGCAATCACTACCAAGAAAGTCAAGAGCGAAGCTGAGGAAGCCAAAGAAAAAGAAGAGAAAAAGAAGAGAGCAGAAGAAAAGAGGTTGAGAATGCCATATGTTATTCCTCCACCTCGTGTTGTTGCTCCTACTGCTCTTGAGGAGGACATGGAAATCAAACACTTTGTGCCTTTCTCTGATATGAAGTGGTACAAGAAACTCCGTGATCAGTATGAGTTCCCGGAGCCAATGGAAAAGTTCCCCCAGAAAAGACTTAAGCGCATCCGGCTGTCAAGGTGGGATCGGTTCTATGAAGTACCCCTGCCGAGAATTAAAGACCAATACAAGCCAAAATGGCATATTCCTGTTTCACAGGATGACCTTGAGACTGTAAGGCCAGCAAGACACCGCACACCTTCTCCAGAGATGGAGGCTTACTACAGAATCAGGAGACGCTCTCTTGGTGATCTTTCTGATGAGGAACTGCTTCTGCCTGTTAAAGAATACTTGTCAATGAAGAGAACAGAGGAAGAAAGACTTAAACTCGAGGATGAACTTGAGTTAGGCTATTCTGCTTCTCCACCAAGTCTTAGCCCTGTACGCTTTGAACTCTCTGCACTGCGTCACCCATCACCTAAGAGAGCTGCATATGATGAGGAAGGGGAGGAAGTTCCAACATATGACTCCTACCGTATTCCATCTAAGTATGAGGCTGGTCCAAGCTATATTGACTTATGTCAACGTCACGATAGGGCAACATACAGACCTCCAAGACAAAAGCAAAGGTTATATGAGGAAAAAGAGGATCAGGAACTGCTTAGGTCAGCAATGACAACCACAAAGTTAACTTCCTACAAGAGCCAACTGCAGCACATTGAGTTTGAGGAGAAAACAAAGGTCAAAAGAAAGGAGAAAACAAGAGTTTCTGTGTCAGCGGTAACTGAGGCAACAGTCATAACTGATATACCTACAGCATCATTCTCTCCTGGCTATGCTACAGTAACTCGTCCTAAGAAGCCTTCTGCTGCTCTGGCAGAAAAAGAAGTGGTTAAAACGACATCACCTGAAAAAACACGCCCACGTTCCCCCAGCCTTGAATCTGCTGAGAAAGCAGCCACTACACCAGACTTATCAACAAAAATTGATTATATGTCAAGGTATGAGTCAAGAAAGAATGCCTTGAAAACTGAGAGGAAGCTTGAAATTGTGACCCAGCAGCCTTTTACCCTTGACCATGCTCCCAGAGTGACTGTAAGAATGCGCTCTCACCGTGTGCCAATTGGTCAAAACACTAAGTTCACACTGAATGTCCAATCTAAGCCAGAAGCACAGATTAAATGGTACCACAATGGAGTGCAGATTGAAGAAAGCAGAAAATACCGTATGTTTAACATGAGTGGTGTTTTGTCTCTTCAAATCACTGATTGTCAGGAAGAGGACAGTGGCACCTACCGTGTCGTCTGCACAAATGCAAAGGGAGAGGCCTCTGACTATGCCACTCTCGATGTTGCTGGTGATGGATTTTCTGCATATGCCTCACAACGTAAAGATGAGGAGCCACCAACTCCCTTTGTCCCTGAGATGACAAAAACAGATGTTTATCATGTTTCATCTACAAAAGCAGCATCTGTATCAGAAACACAAGTGGAATTATCCAAAACTAAAACAGACAAGATAGAAGAGACAATTGAGACTGTTGTTCAGGAGGAGCAGGTAACATCTGAAATCAAACTTGAAACCATGGCAGTGACAGCAGTTGAGGAAGTTGTGGTTGAGAAAATTTCTGAGACTAAACTTGAAGCTACAGAAGTGACAACAGTAGTGGAAAAAGTGGTTGAGGAAAAGAAGCCAACTCTCCCAGCTACAATTCTGACTAAACCACAGTCACTCACAGTATCTGAGGGAGAATCTGTTAAATTCACTTGTGATGTTGATGGTGAACCTGCACCCACTATAACATGGATGCGAGAGACTCGAGTAATTGTGTCCTCTCATCGTTACCATATTACCTCAACTGAATATAAATCTACCTTTGAGATTACCCAAGTAGAAACGTCAGATGGAGGTAATTACACTGTAGTAGCAGAGAACTCTGAAGGTAAACAGGAGGTACAGTTCAGTCTAACTGTTCGTAAACCAACACCTATACAGAAAGTTGTTGCTTCTCCTCCAAGAGTGAAATCTCCAGAGTCTCCCCGTATAAAGTCACCATTTGGAATTAGGTCTCCACAGAGAATTAAATCACCTGAACCAATTAAATCTCCACCAAGAGTTAAGTCCCCACCCATGGTAAAATCACCGACTCCAAAAGAAAAAACATCCAAGCCAACCTTCTCAGCAGAACTAAAAGACATCTCAGCCTCTGCAGATACTATTATAAAGCTTACAGTGAAAGTGTCCGGTGAGCCTAAGCCATCAATCTCTTGGATGAAGGATGGAAAAGTAAGAGAGAGACTTTTATGAAAAAAGTTATATAGTAGAATGGATGGATTTACTAACTAATTTTGACATTTTCTCACAGAACCTCTCTCAAGGTGGAAAATATGAAATCTTTGAAGAACATGGTTCAGCACATCTTGAAATCTATGAAGCTGATGTCTCTGATAGTGGAGTGTACACATGTACAGCCAAAAACAGTGCTGGATCTGTTACTACAAACTGCACTGTTACCGTTCAAGGTATTGTAATGCGCAATTTAGTGCTCAAAATACATTATGATTTTAGTAAGTATAATTTTGTGTAATTTTGCATGTACAATTGTACTTTAATCAAAATGAACTACTCTTTCCTGTACAGCACGAACAACAACAGTTGCCATTGAAAGAAAAGCAGAGTTGACAGAGCAAATAGTGAAAAAGGAGATTGCCTATGAGGAAGTGCAGTCCTTTACAGAAATTAAAGCATCAAAAACCCAAATGACAATGAGTCAAGGTCAGACTGTTACACTACGAGCAAACATCCCTGAAGCCTCTGATGTGAAATGGATCCTGAATGGAGCCGAGCTATCAAATTCAGAGAACTACAGATATGGTGTGTCAGGAAATGATCACACCCTGACAATTAAAAGCATCAGCCACCATGACCAGGGAATTCTCACATGTGAGGCCAAAACTGAACATGGTGTAGTCAAGTGCCAGTTTGACATGACCGTCAGTGCAATGCACTCAAATGCACCAAGTTTCCTTATGCAACCACGCTCCCAGAATGTAAACGAGGGACAAAATGTCACATTTACATGTGAAATCACTGGTGAAACTTCTCCTGAAATTGAGTGGCTCAAGGATAATACAGTAGTGAGTATTTTGGGGGAAGAAAGTACAGTTTATTTGTGTTTTTCCTCATAGCAGTCTGTTAATTTAATTTAAATTTATTTTTATCTTTGCAGATATCTATTACATCGAACATGAAATTGAGCCGGTCTAAGAATGTGTACACACTTGAGATTCACAATGCCACCACTGAAGACAGCGGAAAATATACAGTAAAAGCTAAGAACAAATTTGGACAGTGCTCTGCAACAGCATCACTGAATGTCCTCAGTAAGTGTTTGATCCATTCCTAAGAATAAATTAACACTCTGTAGTAACCTAGTATGAGCATCCTGTCCATTACATAAAGTGCATGATCAAACCAAGCATGTATGTCCATGAAGAATACATATCTAATTATCACTAACTATCACTGCTCACCAATCAAGCTAACAAAATCTAACAATTCCTTCTACAAATGGAGCTATGTTCTTAAAGGGTAAGATCACCCAAAAATGAAAATTAGCCCATAAATTACTTGCCCTCAAGTCATCCTAGGTGAATCCAGTCGGAGTTATATTAAAAATTGTCTTTGATCTTTCAAGCTGTTTCATGGCACTCAGCGGCTGTTGCATTGCTTCAGTCCAAAAGAAGTTAAATACAAAGAGCCCAACCATAAAAAAAAGTGTCAGCTCCAGGGGGTGAACAAAGGCCTTCAGTAGCGAATCGATGCGTTTTGTAAGAAAAATATCCATATTCAAAACGTAATAATCACTTTAATGTAGCTTGCACTCACTGTTGTACACGGAA